AACCCCTTAGTCATAATGTCGGCGAATTGTTGGGTAGTCAGTACGTGAAGAACACAAAGCTGACCCAGCTGAACCTTCTCATGGACAAAGTGAACATCAACTTTAATATGTTTGGTGCGCTTATGTTGCACCGAATAGAGACCCGAAGTTCACCAAGAAGGTGACACAGCCAAGAGGTCTCGGTGACTGCGTTGGCGACAGTGTGGTACTCGGCCTCGACACTCGAGCGAGAGACGGTGGGCTGCCGGTTAGAGGACCAAGATACAAGCGAGTCACCGAAGAAGACATAATAGCCCCACCTGGATGGGTGAGTGTCAGGACAGCCAGCCCAATCCTCCGTCTAGGCGACAAGCTCGGTGGAGGCAGAGGCGCGGAGACGAAGGCCATAGGTCATCGTACCACGAATCTATCGTAGAATGCGCTTGACCAGAGACCAGTGAACATCACGAGGCGAGTGCATGTGCAAGCAAACTTGCTACACCGCAAACTGAATGTATGGTCTGGTGAGCTTAATGTACTGAAGCGCACCAACAATACTGCGGTAGAGAGCAGCGTCGGTGGCGGGCTGTCCAGCTGTGGCAGAGAGCTTTGGCTTGGCCTCAGCAGGGGTGGCAACCGGCTTGCAGTCGTTCATGCCTACACGGTCCAATAGGTCAAGAGTATACTTCCCTTGATGGAGTGAGAACCCAGAGGCATCGCGTTGCACATTAATGTTGGGGAAGAAGCGGGGGTCGACCAGCTTTTCGATGAGCTCCATGAGGATGGCTATTTTATAGACAATGATGGGTAGGTGGTGCAGCTGGCAACCCGCACTGACGCTGAGGCAGGCCCCTCCGGCAGATGTCTAGAGGTGCTTGACCTTGTCTCCGAGGACGAGGATGAGGACTAGCTTGACGCAGACCCAGATGCTGTTGATCTATTAGAGTAGCATATATGTCCTAGTAGTGGTTGTCTATCCTAGTACTGAGGATATATGTAATGTTGACCCAACTATTTTCTATCCTAGCACTGCATAATTATGTCTTAGTATTCAATGTATTCATTTAATTTTGCCGTAGTACTGATGATATTTGTATGGAAAGGGTTATGGTTTATGTTAAAATGGTCTCGAGTCGTTGAAGGAGTGACTTCTATGCTAAAGGTGGACTCTAAGTCTGATGGGGCTCCCTGTTTGATAGATCGATGTTCTTGTGGGAAGGATCCCAACTGTTGTCGTGGGGGTCACATTCTCTTCTGCTCCTTATGCTAGACCTTGGTAATGCACTCGGAGAAGAAGGGTTGCGACCATCGCTATCTTCTGTGTTTATTTCAACAATTCTCTACCGATTTAATTCACAACTATGAGTGTTCGCGCATGTGTCCTTAGAATGTATTTGTGTTTAGCATGCTAACTAACATGATTAAATTGTTTGAAAAATAGGTATCTAGGAAATATCCACTCCCTCACTCTTTGCCTGACAGGTATGTTGCGGAGCCAAATATGGTGGACTACCCAAAGTAATAGTTGAGATAGCTGGATTATTGCTAACAAGCCAGTGGGAAGGATGGATGATGCACGTTCTATAAATAACAAATTTATGCATGATCTGGAGTTTGACAGTCTACAGAGTCTTCTTGAGGGGTGCTACTTGTGAGCTGTGTTGGGGTTTCCCCGGTGAGGAGAGGATGATGTAGTACAGTAGAGATAAGTATTTTCCTCAGTTATGAAACGAAGCAACATTATGTAAACAGCACCTGCGCACAAATAACAAATACTTGCAACCAACGCGTAAGAGGGGTTGTCAATCCCTCCAAGCTATTGAGATATATTAAATTGAATAAGTTTTGATAACTAGATCTAAGTAAAACACAAAATAAAATAAATAAAGAAAAAAATGCAGAAAGGTATTTTTGGATTTAATATGACAGAAAATAGACCTGAGGGCCGTAGATTTCACTAGAGTCTTATCTAAAGAAAATAGCATACGGTGGGCAATTGATAGAAAAACGATTAATCATGATGATATCCAAGGCAATGATCATGTATACAGGCATCACGTCCAAGAATAGTAGATCAAAATGATTTTGCATCTACTATTATTACTCCACACATCGACCACTATCTAACATGCATCTAGTGTAATTAGTTCATAGAGAAACAGAGTAATGGAATAAGAACAATGACATGATGTAGACAAGATAAACCCACATACGAATAAATCCTATCTTGTTACCCTTAATAGCAATGATACATGTCTGTCATGTCTCTTTCTGTCACTGAGATTGAGTACCTGATACGTCTCCAACGTATCTACAATTTTTTATTGTTCCATGCTATTATATTATCATTCTTGAATGTTCTACAATCAATTTATAATCATTTTATATCATTTTTTGTACTATCCTATTGACATAGTGCCTAGTGCCAGTTTCTGTTTTCTGCATGCTTTGTACATAGCAGGAAATCAATACCAAACAGAGTCCAAAGGCAGCAAAACTTTTTGTGGATTTTTTTTGAACTAGAAGACATCCAGTGGGCCAAACAATTACCAAAGGGGGAGCCCAAGGTGAGCACAAGACACGAGGGAGCGCCTGGGCCTCCAGGCGCGCCCTGGTGGGTTGTGCCCACCTCGGTGGCCTCCCGCATCGCCTCTTTGCTCTATAAATACACCAATATTCCAGAAACCCTAGGGGAGTTGACGAAAATCAAATCAAGCCGCCGCAAGTTCCAGAAACACCAGATCCAATCTAGACACCATCATAGAGGGGTTCATCATGCCCATTGGTGCCTCTCCGGTGATGCGTCAGTAGTTCATTGTAGACCTACGGGTCCGTAATTAGTAGCTAGATGGCTCCCTCTCTCTCTATTGATTCTAAATACAATGGTTTCTTGGAGATCCATATGATGTAACTCTTTTTTGCGGTGTGATTGCTGGGATCTGATGAACTTTGAGTTAATGATCAGATCTATGTTTTTATCCATGAAAGTTATTTGAGTCTTCTTTGATCTCTTATATGCATGATTGCTTATAGCCTCGTATTTCTTCCCCGATATTTGGATTTTGTTTGGCCAACTTGATCTATTTATCTTGCTATGGGAAGAGGTGCTTTGTGATGGGTTCGATCTTACGGTGCTTGATCCTAGTGACAGAAGGGGAACCGACACGTATGTATCGTTGCTATTAAGGATAAGAAGATGGGATCTATTTCTACATAAATAGATCTTGTCTATATCATGTTATCGTTCTTATTGCATTACTCCATTTTTCCATGAACTTAATACACTAGATGCATGTTGGATAGGGGTCGATGTGTGGAGTAATAGTAGTAGATGCAGGCAGGAGTCGGTCTACTAATCTTGGATGTGATGCCTATATAATGATCATTGTCTTGATATCGTCATGATTATTTGAAGTTCTATCAATTGCCCAATAGTAATTCATTTACCCACCGTTTGCTATTTTTCTCGAGAGAAGCCACTAGTGAAATCTACGACCCCCGGGTCTCTTCTTTATTATATTTGCCTTCACAATCTATATTTATTTTCTTTTGTTTTTAGATCTATTAATCCAAAAATACAAAAATACTTTGTTGCACTTTATTTTATTCGTGATCTATTGATTCAGTCTAATACAACTTTCTCCCTTCTACTTGCCAATTTCTTGCGCCGTTGCCCGAAAGGGATTGACAACCCCTTTAATACGTCGGGTTGCGAGTATTTGTAATTTACGTGGTTCTCCTACTAGCTCGATAACCATGGTCTCATCACTGAGGAAAATACCTACCATTATTGTGCTGCAGCATCCCTTCCTCTTTGGGGAAATACCGACGTAGTTCATGACGCATCAAAAGGAATTTCTGGCGCTGTTGCCGGTGAGACATCATCAACATCTACCAGGTTCCTAATCACAAATATCATCTCCTTGAAATTTACATTATTTGCCATTTGCCTCTTGTTTTCCTCTCCCCCACTTCACAAAAATTTGTTGTTTTATTCGCCATATTTTCCGTTGGCTGTTTTCTCGTCAGATCTGTTTTTGTGTGCAATTTTGTTTGCCACATTTTGTCACCATGGATAGTTACTCTATTGCATGCACTCCCGAGAACGAGGTTCTCAACTTTAAACAAAAAGGGGAGGAGAGAATTTAAAAGATGCTTGGTATAGGATTTGCAATGCTCATAATAGATCTATCCGTAAGCAATCTACCATTGTTCTTCTTCGTTGTTTTTATGTGGGCATCACCACTTGGTATAGATTCGTCCTTCATATGATTACCAGTGGAAATTTCTTGATGTGTCCTTCTCTTGATGCTTTTAATGCCATGGGAAATATAGTAGGCTCACCACCTCTTATGATTAATGAAACAACTTTGACTCTAGTCATGGAAAGACTAGATGCTATTGAAAAGAAAATGCTTACTAAAGAGCATATTGAAAACTTGGATAAAAAGATGCATAATTTTTCTACTAAAATTGGGCCAAAAGCGGGAGAAGTTTTTAAGTTGTTAAAAAAAGGGGCACTATAATTCATGAAAGAATTGAAGAAAGCTCATCTCAGATTGATAAGCTAGAAGAAATATTTAGTAATTTAAGCACGAATTTTTCTTC